CACGCGCACGCGCGCGCGCGCGCGCGCGGCTGCCAGGCCGCGCTTACCTTTTCCCGGGGCTTGATATACTTGTGCAGCACCCCACACAGCTCCAGGTAAGTTCCATACCACTCGAAAGCTTTCTTTCCGCGCTGCTGGAAGAACTTCTCCCAATAGTCAACGGAGCCAAACTCCTTGGAGCTCTTCGGTAAGAGATTCATATTCCCACACCGGAGCTGCGTCTTCAAGACTGTCCCACCCCCGGTAAGGGAGGTATCCACGGCGGGGCTTACCCCACGCTGCCTACGGGACACTTCAGTGGGATTTCTTTCCACGGACAAGCAGCCACATTGATTTTTCTCCACGCAAAACCCAAAGGAAGGGCCCTTACACGCAAACCGCACGCGAGAGGCACTGAACCTAACACACGCTCAACCTCCACCCCGCGCGGACATCTCTTGCCCACACGCGGAGCGCCTCACTTTCTCAGAGCTTGAGTTCAGAACCGGCATCATATCCGGGTGCTAGGCTTCGCGATTGGTCGGCCGCCCAGACCATCAAGGCATCTCATTGGTCACTGATTTTCATTCCTTGCACCTCATTGGCTGAGACAGGCTCGCCTCAAGCAGGCGCCTAGCGTTTATTTACGTGAGGCGGGAGAAGGCGGGCCCGTGGGTCGGAGCGGAAGTGACCGCTGCCGGAAACCCCAGGCTGGGGTCCCCGGGTGACAGTGGGCTTCCGGGGTTCTGTGTTCCCTTCGTCGCCAGTTTTGATCATGAGCCACACAGGGTCTGAGCACTCATAATTGAGGCAAAACTCCAGTTCATCAAAAAGAAATAAAAAGTTATGTGACTGAGTGAATCCAGCCAGGCCTCCTCTGAGTATGAGATTTGATTCCCAGGATTGTCTTAACTCAGTAGTTTACTGCTATGTCATGTGGACATCTGCAGGCACACCAGTTTCCTGACACAGCTAGACTGTTAGGCAGTTACACCCACTTTTATGGGGAAAGCTAAGGGCATAGCACAAATGGCAAGTTGTTTGCCTTTAGTCAACGGAGCCAGTGGGCAATAACAGTTTGAAATTAAAAAGCCAGGGAAGATGAGGGAATGTTGCCAAGGGCAATGGCCTGTGCCTGTTGCATTGGACTTCTACACGAGGTCGTCTACAAGGTCCCTTTTTGATCATGACTTTGTTTTCTGCACCCTGGGTACTGGGGAAGATTACAATGTTTTCTCCATCATTTAATTATAAGCTTCAGTTCCTTTGCAGGAAAAGGGAGGGCGGGGAACCTGCAAAGCAAGTTGTTTTTCTCCTAAATTCTAGCACGGGACACATCTACCACGAACATCTCATGCATCCCATTTGATTGTATGTTCTCTATCCTAGGCCCATAGCAAAATATTTTTCTGCCACCAAAAAGAAGTTTAAAACAGCATTTAATAAATAAAAATCATTTAGGTGCTCCACCCAAGATACAACTTCAATTTCTTGCTAAAGATAGTAATATATCGAAGTGAATAAATGCATCCATCAGATATGTGACAGGTATTCTGTTAAAATCTGGGAATACAAATATGGTAAACAGTGTTTGCTGTCCTCCAAGAACAAATAATTCAAGTTGGTGAGACTGGAACACCGTTCTGACACTAAGTCCAGTGTTGTTTATATTCTTTCAGGCTTATTGGTATTATCTGATTTATACTAACTGTAAAATGACACTTTCTAAGCTTTCAGAAATGTTGGGCATGGTAAAGGAGCTTTGTTCAGGTGATTAAAGGGTGGGGCTTACATCACTCTTCCTCTATGCAATTATACCAAAATGGTTGGCAGAACTAAATAATTATGGTTTAAAAATTGCTTTATTCATAGAAACTATTCAATGGCATGCCAGCAGAGCTCAATAATCATATTGCCTTAAGTTGTTGTGTAGGAAGGGCTGAGGTTGTAATTGGCGAAAACACTAATTGGCTACCAAAGCAGGGAAATACCTGATAACAAGCAGAGCGGGGAATCGACTCCTTCGACGATCAATGTGGCCTGGCCCCGCCCCCTCCC